TTACATTGAATTCAATTTGTTGGCAGAAGAACTTAAATATTTTTATAGACCAATTTAATTAATGTATAGATAGTGCACAAGATTACAGAAACAAAATCATTGAGAATTCTTGTAAACGAAGAAATCGGTCAAGCATACCTAGGCATCAAGTGTTGAGATTATAAACCCCACATTGGGAAAAAGAGAATTTGCATGTGCTTATAATTAATTAGACTATTTCCCATATTGCCAATTGGTTTTTATGGTGGAACCTCAACTTTCTTCATGGTATCATAGCAAGTTGTTATATGTGTGAAGCCCAACGGCCACATATGCTCCATGTCATCTAATTTGTGTTGTTCACGTGTTAGACTTAAAATTTCGCCAAACGTGAGGGGGCGAGTTGAGATTATGAATCCCACATAGGAAAGAGAAAAGATGTTGCATGTACTTATAAGTAATTAGACTAATCTCCATTTTCCAAATACTAAAGATGCATTACAAAGACACTAAATAAATTAAGAACATTCAAAATGACACCTTGAAAGTTCTCAATCCAATGTATTGTATCTAGTTATTTTCAAGTCTATCTAATTTTTATAGTGAATTCCTAACAAATTTAGCCTAAATTCCATGAAATTCAGAAGCCCCTCATCTAAAACAATGGTTAAAGTTATTTTATGAATAATATAAAGGTTATTAAGAGTTCATGACATTTAGTTTATACTTTATAGACAAAGAAAGATGGTCAAATAAGGATATATAACCCGTGCAATAGAAGTAAGCTCAATCTTTAATCACATCCTTATGATATGAAACATTCAAAAGTGTAATCACAGTTACTAGCACAGTTATATATTTTTCTTTTACTTTTAAGTAGAATGTCTTTAGTTTTCGTTTGCTTATCCGGATGATTCACGCGATCACTTTGTTTATCAACCCTAAACCCTTCTTACTATAATAAGAAGCCCGGACACAAATTGCTGACACTTAAAGCGACATGCAAGTTGCCAATAAATTTCACATAACATATATTCATCATTAGTTCCCTTACGACTTGTGTATACATGCATGCAAAGAAGAGTTGTTTATGCGTGTTACCTTTCGTGACAGACTCGTAGTTGTTGCTAAGCCTGGAAAGTAATATTAAGTAGGTCAAAATCACGTCCATTTATGCAGAGGGACGTGGAAATACTTAGGAAAGGTTGGACTTGAAAAGAAAGGAGAGAGGTCAACAGAAATATTTGATTGTCTTTGACACCACTCTAAAGTTGTTCTAACAACCGTATACGCATATCCCTGTAATATAATAGCTAATTCATCAAGCTCTTCAGCTACAATTTCCTGTATCCTACAGAAAAGTAATATACTATATTTCTAATTTCTATGACCATGCACCTACTCGACCAAACACTACTCATCCCTCTCCTCTATATATACACACCCAAAATCTTTCCTTGAACACGCACTCGATTGTAGCAGCTTCTCACTTTCTTGCAGAAAAAGGAGAGAGAGAGAGAGAGAGAGAGAGAGAGAGAGAAAGAGTGTAAAATGGGTGTTCATCTTCTTTCAACACCACCATTTCTTAGGCTCTTTCTCTTCTCCTTCATAACGTTTTGTGTTATTCCTCAACATGCTCTTGCTGGCATAACCAGACACTACAAGTTTCAAGTATGTGCAAATGCATATATATGTCATAACAAATATACTAGCTAGTTGTACATATATATGTAAACACACGCACCCACAAGGGAGTATACTCTTGTCAAACATGTTAAGCTTGTCACATACATGAAGTTTGAGTCCTTGCATGCACGCATGCAACCATTTCTTCCTTTCCTTTTATGTTCTTATGTTTATCCTTTTAAATGATTTTACAGATCAAACTGCGGAACGTGACAAGATTGTGTCACACAAAGAGCATAATAACAGTGAATGGGCAGTTTCCTGGCCCTAGAATCATTGCTAGAGAGGGTGATCAACTCCTAATTAAAGTGGCTAACCACGTCCAAAACAACATTTCTATCCACTGGTAGTCATCAACTACAACTTCATAAGCAATATAGAAACTAATCATTTTTTGTTCATATTTTACACCCAATTACCATGCATAATTAATCTAAATAAATACTGATTAATAATGTTAATTAATTTCTTTAAATTGCTAGGCATGGTATTCGACAACTTCGATCAGGGTGGGCCGATGGCCCTGCATATGTGACCCAATGTCCCATACAAACAGGCAACAGTTACGTCTACAATTTCACCATTACTGGGCAAAGAGGCACTCTTTTCTGGCATGCTCACATTTCATGGCTCAGATCAACTGTTTATGGTCCCTTGATCATACTTCCCAAGCGCGGTGTGCCTTACCCTTTCACTAAACCCTACAAGGAGGTTCCAATTATTTTTGGTAATTAACATTTAACTATATGTGTGTGTGTGTGTGTTGGTACTAATTCTAATTTCAAATATATTTTCTGCCTATAATATTGCATATAATTGCCAATAAAAGCTATATAATTTATATCTGAAATACAGGTGAGTGGTGGAATGCAGACCCTGAAGCCATAATTAGCCAGGCCTTGCAAACAGGTGGAGGTCCAAATGTCTCTGATGCTTATACCATCAATGGACTCCCAGGGCCCCTTTACAATTGTTCTGCCAAAGGTATCAAAATATGGAACGGAAGTCATATAAATCGTTGATTGTCGTTGATAATGTGTCAATATCAATGTAACCAACAAAAAGTATCAACATGTTATCGATATAGTATCAAAAGTATCCATGGTGCATCCATTCAATATTATAGAACATGTTACTTTCATCTCAATTGTTTTGTACGTGTGGCTCTTTTCTACAGATGCATTCAAGCTGAAGGTTCATCCCGGCAAGACCTACCTTCTCCGGCTAATCAACGCAGCACTCAACGATGAGCTTTTCTTCAGTATTGCAAATCACACCCTCAAAGTAGTAGAAGCCGACGCTGTTTATGTCAAACCCTTTGAGACTCACACAATTCTCATTGCCCCCGGCCAAACCACAAATGTTCTTCTCAAGACCAAACCCAACTTCCCAAACGCCACATTTTTCATGACTGCTAGGCCATATGTGACTGGCCAAGGCACATTTGACAACTCTACAGTTGCTGGCATTCTAGAGTACGAATCGCCCTCCAAAACCAAAAACCTAACAACGAAGAGACTTCCGCTCTTCAAACCAAACCTCCCCGCCCTGAACGACACATCATTCGCAACCAAATTCGCCAACAAACTCCGTAGCTTGAACACCCAACAATTCCCAGCTAATGTCCCCCAAAAAGTTGATAAGAACTTTTTCTTCACCATAGGCCTTGGAACCAACCCTTGTAGCCCAAACAACCAAACATGCCAAGGACCCAATGGGACAATGTTTGCAGCCTCAATTAACAACATTTCTTTTGCAATGCCAAACACTGCCTTACTCCAATCCCACTTTTCTGGCCAATCAAGTGGAGTCTACAGTCCTGACTTCCCAGCCAATCCCATAGTCCCATTTAACTATACAGGGACCCCACCAAATGATACTATGGTGAGCAATGGGACAAAGCTGGTAGTGCTACCATTTAATTCTAGGGTGGAGCTGGTGATGCAGGACACTAGCATTCTTGGTGCTGAGAGCCATCCTCTGCACCTTCATGGGTTCAATTTCTTTGTTGTGGGTCAAGGGTTTGGGAACTTTGACCGGAATAAGGACCCTAAAATGTTCAACCTGGTTGACCCTGTTGAGAGGAACACTGTGGGTGTGCCCTCTGGTGGGTGGGTTGCTATCCGTTTTCTTGCCGATAATCCAGGTAACTAATTGAAATGACCTAAAAAGTAATTATCAAAATCAATAACTATGTACTATCACACTAATGATCACATCTCTCTTATGAGAGAAATTCATGTGTCCGACACTCTGGACTACAAGGCAGTCCGATCAACTAACCCCTAAGATTTTACACCATTTACTTCGGTGTCCTAATCGGGCATCTAGGAACAAGAATTTTCTCATGGTCATGGAAGTAAGACTTACGTAAAGACGAAAATATAGTTACTAATGTGATTAGTAATGGTGAATGTGCCAATAACAACTCGCAAAGACATATCATATTTTCCTATTGTTGATTTTGTTGATTATGATTGTTAATGTATCATGTGTCAATACACAGGTGTGTGGTTTATGCATTGCCACCTGGAGATCCACACAAGCTGGGGCTTGAAGATGGGCTGGGTAGTCTTGGATGGCAAGCTTCCCAATCAAAAACTGCTCCCTCCCCCTGCAGATCTTCCCAAATGCTGAATATTTTCAACCCATTCTTCTGACCGTAACTTGCCCGAATAGTTTTGCGACCCATTAATATTTGTTTATTCTTTGGTACCTTTTTGCATTTTAATTACTTGCCCAAATTAAATTGTTTGAGCGTGATTGCATTTTTCTTAAGAATAGCTGAAGGGAGCAAAAGAGTGAGACAATTACAACACTCTAATTATATTATTAATGTACAATGCCTCTCAATATTCAATAATATTTAACAGCAGATTCTTGCTGTTCCTTTTCATTTCTTGGAATATAAGAAACAAACACAGAAAAGGACTGGCCTGCATTATTTTAAATCCACACTTTTGGTAACAAACAAGAAGTGTAATTGAATTGTTCGGCTAAGGCGTGTCGTTGCACAATGTTCAGATTTCCTAGTATACAGAAGAAACCAACCAAACCCGGATAAATCATACCTATGCACGCAGCCGCGGGGGAAAAGACACCTGAAAGTTACGTAGCCGCCCAAGAAGACGGGATCCTATCTTTAGCTTAAGCGTCTGGAAGTTACTCCACTCTAATGAAAACAAGAACAGCATGGTTTTCTTCTAGGTGTGCAGTAGCAGGTCACGATAGAAGACTGATCGTGGATTGAATGGATGGCATGTTACGTCTGCATATTCAAATTCCAGCACATAATCAACAGCTGTATTCACAATTTGACATCATAACACCTACGATTAACGAGAAAAAAACTAATTTTGTCAAGTTAATGGAGCCCTGCAAATGAAGTAGAACTTATTGTTTCACATAGTTGATTAACAAGGGTTTCCACTTTCCAGTTAATGGAGCCCTGCAAATGATTGATCAGAAGTAGACAAGCAATTGTGTCGAAATAGCCTTCATAAGGGTTTCATGTTAATGGAGGCCTACAATTAACTAATCGATCAGTAGTAGACATGCATTCACGTCAAATAGATGATAGCTCTATGCAATAAGCAGTCTCACTATATTCCTTACCAAGTATATACCTAAGAATCCAAACACTAGGATATGTTTGTAATACGACATTCCGCATAGGTTCTTAATTACTTAATGAACCAATTCAACACTTTGTATCCAAATGATACAAGTTGAATTCTTAATAAACAAAAATGATATCTATTATGTATCTGTTGTTTCGTGACATCCGCCAAGAAATCATATATTCTTGTCAACATACTGGATGGGGAATCAAATGAATTTGCGATGCAGTAACATTATCCTTCAAAATAATGAGACACCAACACCAAAACAAAAATATTGTAAACATAAGTAATTCCATCTGAGGCTCACCTGTATAAGTACCTCCAAACGAGGCCGCACAATTGGCCCCAGAAGTACAAAACTTTCACAGTTCCACTTGTAGCCATGATTTCACTTAAGCTCCTACCGTTCCTTTTTCTTCAAATGTTTCTCACAGCAGCGTCAATGATCAAAGCAGCCCCAGCAAACCCAAAGCTCTTCAGAGAATACATAGGAGCTGAGAACAAAGGTGTCACTTTCACAGAAGTACCCGTTGATTCCAAAGTTGAGTTTCACTTCATCCTCTCCTTTGCTATTGATTATACAACACAATCCATTAATCCTTCTCCCACCAACGGAGACTTCAATGTCTTCTGGGACACAGAGAACCTCACCCCTGCCAATGTTTCCGCCATTAAGGCCCGTCATCCAAATGCTAAAGTAGCTCTGAGTCTTGGAGGTGATACCGCTGGCAACAAAAATGCGTCCTTCAATCCTAAATCAATCAATTCTTGGGTTAGAAATGCTGTCTACTCACTAACTCAGATAATCAGAAAATATCATTTGGATGGAATTGATATTGACTACGAACACTTCCAGACAGATCCCAATACATTTGCCGAATGCATTGGGCGACTGTTGTTCTCCCTTAAGCAAAACAATATTGTGTCCTTCACATCAATAGCACCATATGATGATGACTCGGTGCAGCGAAATTACCTGGCATTGTGGAGGAAGTACGGGCATCTCATTGACTACGTTAACTTTCAGTTCTATGCCTACGACAATCGCACGACTACAACTCAGTTTTTGAAATATTTCGAGATGCAGAGCTCAAATTACAAAGGTGGCAAGATTCTAGTGAGCTTTGGAACAGATAATAGCGGGGGTTTGTCACCTGAACACGGCTTCTTTGCGGCTTGTACTAAGCTTAACAGCGAGGGCAAACTTCATGGCATTTTCATTTGGTCTGCAGATGACTCCAAGAAGGATCATTTTCGTTATGAGAAGCAATCACAAGCCTTTCTATCTGGTGTAAATTGATCTGTACTTTTTTTTTTCTTTCCCTTGTATTTGTTGTTATTTTATTCCTAATTGGAAAGAAGAAAATAAAGAGTCCCTCTTTATTAAGGTTGTTGCCCAGTCAATCCCTCTCTATACGATGAATGTTTCCTCCTACCAAAGTTTTTCTGCGACGATTTGAACCGGCTTGTGGCCAAATTTTGGTGAACAAGCTTGTGGCCAAATGTTTCCTCCTACCAAAGTTTTTCTTTCCCTTAATCCCTCTTTATTAAGGGGAGATAAAGTGAGAATTTGGGAAGATAGATGGCTCCCAATTCCCTCTCGGTCCCAGATTTTTTCCCCGAAACCGCCTCACTGTGACTTAATTCTTGTAGAAGACCTTATTGATGAGTCTAAAAATCGGAACATTCCGCTCCTGAGCCATCTCTTCTCGGATGTGGACGTTCAAAGCATTCTGTCCCTTTCCCTGAGCTTCCGCTTGCCGAATGACAAATTCATATGGCACTATGACAGGAAAGGTATCTTCTCAGTCAAGAGTGCGTATCATGTCACCCGGGACTGGATTCAATCTTGAAGGGAGGCGCTTCATCCTCCTCTGCTAATTCTTCCGGTGAGGCTTGGAAGAAACTATGGGCTGCTAGGGTGCCTCCTAAGGTTAAGACTGGGGTTTGGAGGATTGGATTGGATATCATCCCGACATGAATCAATCTCCATAGAAAGAGGATTCAAAACGGATATGGTATGTGTTCTCTGTGGAGCGTATGGCGAATCCACGAACCATCTAATGTGGGATTGCATTTTCAAAATGTATGATATCCCCCGTGTACTTCGTGATCTTCCTCTGTTTTAGATTGCTCAGCTCTCTGGGCTGTCGAACATAATCAATCAAATTTTGAGATTTGTTTGATGTTCATGTGAGCTATTTGGAATGCAAGGAACGACCATTTGTGGAACGATGTAGTGACTCCACCTGACCTTGTCACTCCCGATGTCATTGTTGGTGGCAGGAATTAAACAGAGTGGCTTTTACCCCCACCCAAAGAACCGGGGCTCATACACAGTTGCATTTTCGTTGGTCTCGTCCTTCTACTTCCTTCCTCAAGGTTAATGTTGATGGTGCATGGAATGAACAACTCAAACAGGGGGGTGTTGGGAGTATTATCAGGGATGATCAGGGCTCTTTTGTGGCAGCTGCTGCGAAAAGCTTGAACATGTGTATTCTCCTCTTCAGGCTGAGGCGTTGGCTGCCAGAGATGGCCTCTTGCTGGCGACACAAAGGGGTCTTCAAAATTTTATTTTGTGGCAACCCTGTTGATACTATCTTAATGAAGCTATTGATCTTTTCTCAAGAAAAAAAAAAATCAGAAACAGAGGGAATTCAAATATACATGGTATACCAAAAATACATATACATCTAAAGAGTCATTACCGAGGAGTAAGGATTCTACAGTTTCTGCAGCATTTAGTGTTGAACTGGTACTGTGTACCCTTCTTTTTTGTTTTCAATTACATGAATAAACATTGATATATTAAGGCAAATAGGAAGAACGAAATCTTGGCAAAGGAGAAAGCAAGATGGTGGGGGCGATATTGTTAAATAAGAGGAAACACGAACACGGAAGAGTTGATACACAGATATCATACCTGGTAGTGCTCTTATATAACGGGTTACCACGGTATCTGATAGGATTATGCGTTATTCTGTTCAAACTTCAAAAAGTTATAAGCCTTGAGGAAACAAGTTGACAGACTATTATAAATGAACTGATCCAAGAAGAATAAAAAGATGCCCAACATTAGAATATGCTGGTGGAGAACCGTATGCATATGCAGGGCCTTGGATCATTATATACAAGAGCAAAGGAAATACCAAATACCCATCAAAGAAAAAAAGAACAGGGATAAAAAAAAACATAAATGGAAAACGTGTATTTATGCAAAGAATGTAATGTATGGAATCCCCAACAAGTGAAAGAAGCATCCTTTATTTGTTGGAAATATGAGTAACCACAGTTTTCCCAATTGATTAAAACATCATCCAACGGCGCTTTCTAGGCCTTTTTTTTTCACCTTCGAAGGCCAGTATTTAATTAGCCATCTACAAAATTGCAAGTGATAGAATCAGTGTTCTTTGAAATAATCATAACGCTTGACATACAAAACCGAATGCAGAAAACACAAACGGAGATAACACCCGTATTAAGAATCAAAATCGATATGGCATTATCAAAGTTTTCATTGCAATCAATAATATCACCTGGCATTGGTAATTAGCACTACATAGAAAACAGTATCCCCACAAAATTACCCTGAACGTGCAGAGCAGCAGACCCTCATGGAATTGAAATCTCCACCGAATCCCAGAAAACTCAAAACCGACAGCAATGAACAATTGTGTCATTGTCTTCTCAAATTTTCCTCCTCTTCTTCTTTTTCTTATCCCCTTGTTCTTCCGAAGCATCAGAACCTCCATCTTCTAATACCCCACTCTTCCGCTTCTTACTCTCCTCCTTCTTTGCCTCTCCGCTCCCCGTTTTAGCCCCGCCGTGTCCCTTCTTAATTTGAACCCTGTTTTCACCGGAATTGCTAACATTGTCCCTCTTTTTCTTCTTCCTATTTTGTGTATCAACTGAATCAGCCGGCTCTCTCCTTTCAACACCCCCATTTGCCCTCTCTGCAATTTTAGCCCCAGCATCTCCCTTGTCAATCTGCCCTCCATTTTCATTAGAATTACCATCAGTGTCCTTCTTCTTCTTCTTCTTCCTAGGCACCTCTACTGAATCAGATGCCTCTTTCTTTTCACCACCGTCCCCTCCCCTCTCTGCAATTCCACCTCCATCTTCCCCAAAATTACGAACTTCACCCTTCTTCCTCTCCTCCTTCTTCCCCTCGGCATCCACTACCTGTCGCTGCGTTTTCGGCTTGAACTCGAGCCCATGACTCACTTCACTCACACCGGCACTCTGAGCTGGATTCTCTCCGACGGTCTCTGCGTCGTCGTTTTCGGTCTCCGACCTGTGCCGCCGCGATTTCTTCCGTTCCGACCTCGGCGATTTGAGCTCCTTGTGCAGCTGCTTCAGCTCCTTGAACGATGTCAAGGTGCGTCGGAGGTAGACGCTAAACTCTTGCGACGCGCCGGTGTCGCTGGTGACGAAGGAGGACAGAGTGGAGGTCGCCTTGGAGAGAGAGATTGACTTCGACGAGACGACGATCCCTGAGACCGTTTTCATGGTTAGGATTTCTAGGGTTTTAGGGAGAAAGGGGGCGAGGTTTTATCCAGGGTTTTCAATTTAGGGACGCATGGTTTAAATAAAACACGTTTATTTATTTATTTGCCTTGAAAATTTTGAAATGCTTATATTAATCACTTCAAGCTAGCAAGTGTCCATTTACGACACTGATAGAAAAATTTTGTGTCCTTACATGATACCGTGGGTTCAAACGCTGTCGGTTCATTTCATTATAATAAAAAATTAAAAAATTCACTTCTAGTTTTTTACAAGAATTCCACATACTATTTTTGCTTTTATTGTTATATCAGAAGTTACACCACATATTACTTGACATAAAATGGATAGGGAGCTTTAGATACAGAGATAAAAAAAATTTACTATATTTAAGGAACTCCATTAGTTTTTAAACATTTCAATGAGAAATAAAAACATAAAAACAACTAAAGTTCAGCACAAAAACATGAAAATAATGTTTTAAAATACTAACAATACCCCTAAGGCTTTAGGGCTATTAATATAACCCAGTCTTCACAACTCGTACAAAATTAACATGTGTCATAAGCTCAACTTATTCTCGACTATTTATGCATAATCAGTTCAACCCTTCATTGACTATTTTGCAGAATCAATTCAATCAATTCTCGATCATTTTTGCAAAATCAGTTCAACCCGTCCTCGACTATTTCTGCAGAATCAGTTCAACATGCCCTTAACTATTTTGCAAAATCAGTTCAATCAATTCTCGATCATTTTTACAGAATTCGTTCAACTAGTCTTTGACTATTTTTGCAAAATCAGTTCAATCAGTCCTCGATCATTTTTGTAGCTCAGTTCAACCCGTCTTCGACCATTTTTACTGAATCAGTTTAACCCGTCTTCGACCATTTTTGCAAAATCATTTCAATCCGTCTTCTACAATTTTTGCAGTATTAGTTCAATTCGTCCTCGACTATTTTTGCAGAATCAGTTCAACCCGTCTTCGACTATTTTTGTAGAATCAGTTCAACTCGTCTTTGACCATTTTTGCAAAATCTGTTCCATTAATCCTTCATCATTTTTGTAGAATCAGTTTAACTCGTCGTCGACCATTTTTGCAAAATCAATTCAACCCGTCCTCGACATTTTTTGCAAAATCAGTTTTACCCGTCCTCGACCATTTTTGAAGAATCAATTCAACCCGTCTTCGATCATCTTCTAATACCCCACTCTTCCTCTTCCTCTTCTTACTATCTTCTTTCTTTGCTTCTTCGCTCCCCGTTTTAGCCCCGCCATGTCCCTTCTTAATTTGAACCCTATTTTCACTGGAATTGCTAACATTGTCCCTCTTTTTCTTCTTCTTATTTTGCGTATCAACTGAATCAGCCAGCTCTCTCCTTTCAACACCCACATTTGCCCTCCCTGCAATTTTAACCCAACATCTCCTTTGTCAATTCGCCATCCATTTTCATTAGAATTACCATCATTGTCCCTCTTCTTCTTCTTCTTCTTCCTAGGCACCTTTACTGAATCAGATGCCTCTTTCTTTTCACCACCGTCCCATCCCTCTCGCAATTCCACCTCCATCTTCCCCAAAATTACGAACCTCACCCTTCTTCCTCTCCTTCTTCTTCCTTTCGACATCCACTACCTGTCGCTGCGTTTTCGGCTTAAACTCGAGCCCATGACTCACTTCACTCTCACCGGCACTCTGCGCTGGATTCTCTCCAACAGTCTCTGCATCGTTGTTTTCGGTCTCCGACCTGTGCCGCCGCAATTGCTTCCGTTTCAACCTCGACGATTTGAGCTCCTTGTGCAGTAACTTCAGCTCCTTGAACGATGTCAAGGTGCGTCAGAGGTAGACGTTGAACTTTTGCAACGCGTCGGTGTCGCTAGTGATGAAGGAGGACAAAATGGAGGTCGCTTTGGAGAGAGATATTGGCTTCGATGAGACAACGATCCCTGAGACCGTTTTCATGGTTAGGATTTCTAGGGTTAGGGAGAAAGAGGGCGAGGTTTGATCTAGGGTTTAGCACTTTAGGGACGCATGGTTTAAATAAAACACGTTTATTTATTGATTTGCCATGAAATTTTTGAAATTCTTATATTAATCACTTCAAGTTTGCAAGGGCCATTCAAGTTAGCAAGTGGTCATTTATCATAGTGGTGGAAATGTGTTGTGCCCTTAAATGACAGCGTGGGTTGTAACCCCGTCTATGGGTAAGTTAACATTTAACTTACTAACGTTATAGTTTCACTAAAAAAAAAATCACTTAGAGTTCTTTACAAGAATTCCGCATACTATTTTTGCTTTTACTGTTATATCGGGAGTTATGTGTCATAAGCTCAACTCATCCTCAATTATTTCTACAGAATCAGTTTAACCCGTCTTTGACTATTTTGCAAAATCAATTCAATCAGTTCTCGATCATTTTTGCAGAATTAGTTCTACTCGTCCTCGACTATTTCTGCAGAATCAGTTCAACCCGTCCTTCACTATTTTGCAAAATCAGTTCAATCAATTCTCGACCATTTTTGCATAATCAATTCAACACTCTTTGACTATTTTTGCAGAATCAGTTCAATTAGTCATTGATCATTTTTGTAGCTCAATTTAACTCGTCTTCGACCATTTTTGCAAAATCAGTTTAACCCGTCTTTGACCATTTTTGCAAAATCAATTCAATTTGTCTACTACAATTTTTGCAGTATCAGTTCAATCCATCCTTGACTATTTTTGCAGAATCAATTCAACCCGTCTTCGACCATTTTTGTGGAATTAGTTCAATCAGTCATCGACCATTTTTGTAGAATCTGTTCAATCAGTCATTCATCATTTTTGTAGAATTAGTTTAACTCTTCGTCGACCATTTTTGCAAAATTAGTTCAACCCGTCGTCAACCTTTTTTGTAGAATCAGTTCAACTTGTCATCGACCATTTTTGTAAATCAGTTTAACCCACCCTTAACTTTTTTTTTTTTTTTTTTTTTTGCATAATCAGTTCAACCCGTCTTTGACCATTATTTTTCTAGATTTTCCTAGCCTGAGTCGATGGACTTGGCTTTTCCATTATTTTTTTTTTAAAGATTTTCCTAGCCTAAGGGAAGAACAATTCTTCACGAATTAACTGAAGGCGCAATCACACATTACACGATCTCGCAAACAATATTATACATATTATTCCAAAATTAACACATTATATACAAATCAAAATTTAATACTATATTTGAAAATGCGAAGGCAGATGGGTTTCATACTACATCAGAAGCTACAAACAGAATCAATCTAATCGAAACATAAAGGCAACAAGTATACACGAGAATTAATTCAAAATTACAAAAAGGATAAGTAACTTGCTAAAAATGTGTGTGGGAGAGGGAGATCAATAGGCAATAGACTTGGGCCACCAGTTAGCAGATGATCAAGAGATGTGGCATGTTACGGCCAATGTGATCAACAAATCATTGGGCTGCCAGCTGACAGATTTATTGTATTAAGAAACCAACAAAACCAAGAGACCCTGAAACGCGCTCGTTTGAGATCTTTAGTTATATCCCGCAGAGCCACAAGAGTTGTATAAATACCTGGCTCATATTGTTCAATCCATTCTGCCTCAACTGTATTATCATTAGCAGGCAATGGAAAATTCTTAGATCTCGCAAAATTATCTCCATCTTGAAATGGCCAGAATTCCTTACCATCAAAATTTTCAGACACACTACTTTTGTCCTTCTAAAATGATCCACCACCATTAGGTAATTTATCTGGGGATTTTATCATCCCATTGGAGGTCAGAAGCTCCGACTCTGCTACACATTTGTTTCATTCGTTCCAAGTGGATCCTTGGGTGAATGAGTGGGCCCTGATTTCCATTTGTTGTGGAAGAATTAATTCCCAAGGATGAGATCGAGTAAGAATTAACCCTTGGAGCAAGTCTTAAATTTTGGCTCCTAAACTTACCTTATTTCACTCCAACTCTTGCCCTAAAATTTGATTTTGGATTAAAACTCAAAATTGGCCCAAATATCAACCAACTTTTAGGTTCTAACCCCACTGATGCGACTGAACGCGAGAGGCCACCCACATGAGATTTAATGCGCCTATTTGAGTCTCACGCCCCCATCTTTTTCAAACCAAACATGCTGGATCCCATGCACATGGGCATGTCTACAAAATAAAAGGGTTTGTCGGCAAGAATTGAGAGCCTAACAACTCTTTGATTTAATCCAATGGTTTGGATCTTTGGACCGTTGACTAATCCAACGGTCCAAATTCAACTTTAATTTTTTTTAGTTTTATATTTATAAATTTATTGAATCCAACGGTTGAGATCTAATATGATCAAATTCAATGATTAAAAAAAAAATATTTTAAGACCCCAATTTAAATCCAACAATTAAAATAATTTTAAAATTTTATTTAATTCAAACTTCATTAAAAAACTCTACAAATACTTATATATTTGTTCAAACATCCATCCAAAATTCACTTTTTTCGTACAATTCTTCCAATTTTTCTCTCTACCATCTTACAAAAACATTTGTATCATGTGTTTCATATTCTTTTATGCATTTCATATTCTTTCATAGTGTCTAATGAGTTTCATAGTGTCGGTTTAGTGGTTTTTCAATATTTATCGAAATTTAAATATTTTTAGGTTAAAATGTTCATAAAATTAATTTAGGATAGTCTACATAATTTATTTATTTAAAAAAAAAATTAATTGAAAAAATAGTTTAAATTCATTCTTTAATAATCTGGAGCATGAACTTTGCCTACCAGAGATGGGTACCTGTATAATTTGTATGTAACATTTCCATAGCATTGATCTTCAAAATTGACATCTCTCTGTAAATTCTAGCTGCTCAGAGAAATAATGTTGAGAAACCGTAAAAAAATGTTTCCATATCAGACATTTGCAGGTCACAGTGCCTAGAGTTGTGTAGTTTTCGTTCGTGAGCGCCAACAAAAACTATGCGATAAAAACTGGTACGGAATACAAAAGTATTGCTTTTATGTACGTGTACATTGTATGTCGATTTTATTCAGCTTGGATAGTCACAAACAGTTATTTGCAACTGAGTATTTTCCTGCTCCGATACGTGTTTGATAAAAGCTCTTCTCCACCAAACCTCGAATGCCTTCTGAATGTTGGGGCAATCGTCTCCCTTGTTTAGAAACCGATCGAACCAATTAAGCAAAATTGTCTGCTGCTGCTGCAATGGCAGTGTGAGAATTGTCTGGCTTATTCCCTCTTCAACCAGTTTCTTATCAATAGATCTCGAAGAAGCCCTCCTCATCCATCCGAAATCTTCATACAGAGCTTCCAGCCATGTCGATAGCAACAAGTATCTTGTTTCTTTCGGCACAAGCAAATTCCTGCTCCCAATTGCAACGCATAGCTGAGCAGTGATCTTGCTGATTTCGTGCCTGTACATGGTTGGAATCTTCGAATGCAGGTCCACAAGCTCCTTCTGATCCGCCCATAACTTGACAAACTCCTCGGCCATTTTCTTGTCCACCAGAATACCAACAATCCACTGCATGTTATCAGCCTCTCTCGCTATCTCTGCCATCAAAACCCCACGGTCCCGCCTGCCGTCATCCGCAGATGTAGCTTCAGATAAGCACAGGACAAGAGAACTCAGACATCTGTGGCAAAGATGATAAAGAGTTTCTTTAGAGACATCAATCCTATTGCTGTCACTGCCTGCATCCTCTCTGAGCAACCGAGAAATGAGCGTCTTCATTTCCCTCCGAGCTCTATCATCTTTTGCTTGAAGAACGCCGGTCAGCAGTCTCATGAAAATGCCATCAGCTCTTGCAGAAGTGGACAATTCAGACGAAACTCTGAGCAGAACTTCACTGGCTAAGTCTTCATGAAGCTGGAGCTCACTGAGTTGCGATACAACTTTCTCCTCTTCTTCCTCGGACCACGGAACAGCTTCCAAATACTCCAAGCATGAGGCAATCCCCTCATCATACATTATAGCAGCAGATACCTGCAACAAACAAAAATTTCACAAATATTCATCGTCACAAACTCGACAAACGATAAACAAATACAGAGACCGTGACTCCTAGTTATTGAATATTCGATTCTTTTTTCAAATTTTCATATAGATTTTAGAAAATACAGATTCGGGCTGTTGATTTTAAAAGATAAACAACTAGGAAAACAAAAATGCAGCTTTGCACAAGAAATTGCAAATTTAAAATGGGATTTCTGGAATTAAAAAAATAATTAACGACACATCAAAGACGTGTACAATACAAGAATTAGGATTCCTAATTTCGATAAGTTTTTATTTGCGCTATTTTAATAATTTTAACAGTACATCAATTCCGTGTATTGACTATCCCAAAAGTGCACAGATTTCCAAAACTCATAATCCTAATCCAAAATTTTCTTACCAACCAAACAGAGCATAAGACAGAGAGAAACAAAACAGAGAAAATGCTAAAAGCAAAAGCCAAAAGCACATACCTTTAGCAAACCCAAAACCCTAGAGACCTCCTCACCCATCAACCTCCTCTTCAGATCATCAGAGTACATGAGCACCACAGCCTCCACATACACCTCCACGTCATCGCAGTCCGAAATCTCCACGCAGTGCGAAACCCCCCGCTCCTTTCGGAGCTTTTCGGCAAAGAACCGGCTTTTCGCCGCCAGCACGCTCTTGTGCACGTCCATCGACACCCTGAACCCGTCCTTGGCCACCACCGTCAGCCTGACGTCGCCGGACACCAGCCCTCCCCAATTGGGGTTCCGAAACGGCGCGTTTTGGAGAAGCCTGTGGACTTTCTCATGGATTTTCCGGTCCGGGAGGAGCTTGGAGTCCCGGTTCTGGTCGTCGGACATCATCTCGTAGAGGGTTTGGGACGGGGTCGGTCGAGTCAGAGAGTGATTTGACCCGGCGAGTTGCGGCGGCGGCGGTTGGGGAGAAGGAGGGGAGGAGAGGGGCTTGGAGGGCGAGGAGGTGGGAGAATAGAGCTTGGAGAGGGATCTTGACGGCGAGAAGGAGAGGGTTTGATCGGAGATGAAGCCCTGTTTGATCATGGCGGAGACCTCCCTCGATTTGAGCGCGTTCTCGGCCGCCATTGGAGCTCTGAGAGCTCGGTGGGGGAATTAAGTGAATGGGAAAGAAAACCCAGAAGTGGGATTTTCGTGGGGATGCAAGGATTGAAAGAAAGATGGGTTCTTGGAGGATTGGAGTGAGAGAAAATGAGTAATCAATCAATCAAAGAAAGAAGTGAACTTTTCTAGGAAAGTAGAGAGAGCGAGGGGGAAGTAATAAAGAATGTTTTCTCGGGAAGTAGACAGTCAAATATTTTCCTGGAAAATGAAGAAAGTAGGAATCCAAGAAATAGAGAGAGAGAGAGGGGTAATGGTGTGGATGATTATAACGAACCTGAGTAAAAGGGTTTGTTTAAGGAAGGAAGAAGGTAAATATTTATATGAACAGCTGAGCTGCCCACCCACTATCACTCACTCACTCCAGGTCGTACAATTTTGTTTGGTTTGCTGTAAAATTATGCTTTATAGGTATGGAGGAAAGGAGTTCATGTGGACCATCTGCGTATTATTATGTATAAATTATAATAATTAGAATATTAATCAGCTTTTAATTAGTTTATCAAATGGATCTAACTTTTGTTTAATTAGTTTAATATTTTGGATGTTTGGATGATAATGCTTGGAGATTCTACCTGTTTGCTGCAGAGTGCAGAGAACCCGAATCCAGATTTAATAATCTAATCATAATTAGTAAAATGGAATAGTTTTTTATTTTTTTTTTATACAAAGAAAGTTTTTTTAGTTGCAGAGGAGGACCTAGAAGTGGGATCTGAACTCTGCATTCTGTGCAGTGGTGACACAGTCATATGTAGTGGTTGAGCAATGGGGCATAGCATGTCTCCAACTTCAACCTAATGATTCTCCCTTTCTCATTATCCAAATAACTTTCATGCGACGGATGAATCATATCACGTGAGAAGCAAGATAGTCGGATAAATAGTGTGTTTCACCCACAACACTGAGGGCGTTCGAGATGATAAACTGGTATTTGGGTACAAAACGATCAACTTTTCTCAAGTTTGCTTTTGTTGTTGCACAAAATGATTTATAAGATTATGTTACGGTCTGTTGTTCAAACGCAAGGGTGAGTGATTATTCTTGAGACACTGTGGTTGAGTGGATGTTCATCTATCTATCTATCTATATTATCTTCTATATTATTAAGGGAACATACCTTGCCAACCCTTTTGCCCGCTTTTTTCAATTTTGTCCCCCACTTTTGAATACACAGAGTTGAGATAATGAGGGCAAAATAGTAATTTTGTATCTTTTGACAAAATGACAATTATATCCCTTTTTTTCTATTTTGCCCTCATTTTTTATGCACAATATTTACATAAAAAGGGTAAAATAGTAATGTTGTATCAACATATTTACATAAAATATGCACTTATGAAGAGAAATTGTCTCACCATCATTTTTTCATACAAGTAAGTGAAATCATAATATTTTTTGAATTGTTTGAATGAACTGAAGTTGTTGTGCTTGAGGAGAATGTAGAAAGAGGTGGATGGTTGTTTACACACACAAATTGTGTGCTCTATGTCAGTACAAGGATAAAGATAATTCATAACAGAATCAACTCAAGTGCCACGTGGGTGGACCAAATGATATTTAAGACAACCACACCAGCAAAGCTGCTCCATTGCCCTTGTAATATTTGTGCAAAGTCAATAATAGAGCGACTGTGAACCTGAAATTATCGGCCCAATAAATGCGTGAAAAATGAGTTGAGATGCAACATACGAAAATTCCAGCATGATTCGATGTATAGCAGTAACGTTAAGAAGATTAAATTTAGAGATTAAATTTATAAATTAAATAATGTGTCACTAATAGATATGAGTATGTTTATCAACGCTTAAGTAATAAACTAATCATCAACTTCCATGTAATTTAGTCTCTAAAATTTTGTTTACAAATTTAGTTTTCCTAACATTACTCATAAGAAAATCTTGGTTTATATAAGATAATACTCGTGTTTCATCACGTGGGAATGTACATATCTCACTTCTTTTGAATAATGTATATTTATCTTATGAATTTCATAATCGGACCTGTTCAATTTATAATATTCATTGGAAGATGATCCCTACAAAAAAAAAAAAAAATCAAATGGAGTTTGTTTAGTCATCAAAATGTATGAAACAAATCAACGGTGTGAATACCAAGTAATATGTTCATAATGAACCGTCTATTTATTTGATACATTTGGTTGACTAAAAGATTTCTAATTCAAATAATTTTTCCCTAGGATGATCTTCAAATGAGATTAAAAAAACTGAACGATATTGACTATAGAGTTTATATGATGAAAATACACTTATCGCAAAAGGTAGAATATGTGCATTCTTCCAGTGAAAAAAATGCAAGTATTATTCAATTAGGTAAAACACAAGTATTATACCATAGAAATAAACTTCATATAAGATTAAAAAACTGAACGATTCTGATTATAGAAAGAAAAAAGAAAGTTCGTATGGAGGTTTTTTAATAATTTGTTATGGCTTTCTTGTTTTTAACACTCACTGTGGTTTCAGTTTGGTTAAAAAATAAGGAAAATTTGAAATAGGTCCAATTTTATAGACTACCTTTTGAAATATGTCTAATTTTTAGTAACTTTTGACTTTTAAAATAGGTCTAATTTTTAGTTACTTTGGACCCATTTCAAAAAACCCCTAAAAAATAAGGACTTGGCATCAAGTACACAAAGCCACTCTGTTGTCATTTCGAGTGAATTGGTCAAAAAGTTTGCTTAAATTTTGAGTTTTAAACAAACCATGTGCGTTTAAATTTTGCGGAGGATGAGTTGTCGCTTCCACAAGTGAATGCCGGCAGGGCAGTACACTCTCACATCACAACTTTGGCATTTTGTAATATTCTTGACACTCATGATCCATTGGAAGAATCGTTCATATGATAGGAGTACATAGAGAAATTATGTACGCCCCCAATAATTTTGTGGACTCACCAAATGACAAAAGACCTGCCAAAGTGAAAGGACAAGGACATGATGTGATATTTCAGCTAAAACTTGATTTGAAAATTGCTGAATGAACCGGCTCATAACATTAATCGACATACATGGTCTAGTAATTAAGGATATAATGGTTGTGGATTTCTATTCATGTTCTGAGCCGGTCTATGCTAGACAAACTCAACTTGATTCTCACCCTCTTCATGAGTCATGTCTGAGTTTGTAAATGGTCGGCATGATTAGTCAGTTTAATATACATTATTTGCTTATTTTCTAACAGCTTATAAGTTATTTAGGTTCTCACCTTTTTCCGATGTGATACTATTAGAGCTCGATTGGCAAGATGTCTAGGTTAACACAGGATAATACTTGCGTTTATTTATGGGAGAACGAACATATTCACTTCTTTCAAATAATGTATATGTGCACCATATGAATTTCATAACCAAAACTGTTCAATTTTTTTATCTTCTTTAGAAGATCACCCTTAAAAAATCATTTAGGCCGGAGAGCAATTAGACCATCTTCAATGGAAAAAGGCTAAACGGCAATGGAGTAATAAAGACAGACAGAAAAACAGGTTAAATGAATTAATTAAATTTCAAATTTTTGGAGTACAAACCAACATAGATAACAGAAACATCACACTTTGCAGACATCGTACGAACAATTATTAAAAACCTTAAAGTTCTATCAACAAACTGCAACATCCTCCAGGACCAGCCCGTTTTGAAATTTGCTAACAATAACACACAAGCAAATCAACGACACCGGAATGTTTGAACGAAACGATGAGCTTTTCTTCGCAATTTCCCGAATGAGATACAGTTCAAGTACTCAAAATGTGCACCAGAAAATTCCTGACCAAGAAAGCAAAGTGTTAATCTACTAATAATGCTAGCAACATTCAGAATTCTTCGAAACCGGGTGGAGAAGATATATTACATATACCTCTTAGAATATGTTTGTTTGTAAATCTTGCATCTCAGGATCTACAGCATCTTCTCCCTTTTCGGCTTCAGTTTTTCCAAAGAGAGGAGCATCGAGTTGAGGAGGGTTCTGCAAATTTAAAAACTTTTCAGTATGAACTCCTTGAACTTTCTAAATTTTAATGCTTCAGGCATTGCAATTTGTAAGCCCTTTGGTGTTACCATGCAGCGAACAAGAGCCCAGTTGATGCCCTTGAAGAACGGATGGCGCTTAATTTCATCTGCTCCTTCCTGTGAGCCCAATCTGTTTTTGGGATCACGGTGCAACAACCGATACATTAACTGCTTTGCTTGGAGACTTGCCTGCATCAGGACACAACTCCATTAGCATCCAAACCAGAGAGGAACATTTTCACTTTGTAATTTCTAACTTCATGCATATTATATTTGTAACTCAGAGTTGCAGTTTGTGAATGAAGAAAAATGTCTGTGCTCGTCTGCATAATGCTCTCTCTATAGATCCTAATGTCTCCGCCAAAGCACATCAAACAAGCGATCATAAACGCATTGTGAGACGCATGTGAACCTACAGAATTATTGGTGCAAGAATATACACATTTCATATAGGTATGTGTATCTATACACGCAAACAGTAAATCTTACCGATATACTTCCTGGAAATTTAAGATCCTTGTGAAGAATATTGGCGAATGTCTTTTGCCTTGTTTTCCCCCTGAACGGTGTATATCCATAGAGCATTTCATACAGAAGAATACCTGAAAAAAAATGCAGTTGATCAGTAGAGTTGGCAGATGGTAGACGAATGATTTAATTTCTTGAAGAGGTAAGACACTCCCGTCATGAGGCGATGAAGACAGTTTCTTATCATTCTCATGCACAGATGACATACTAAAAGCCGAAAAAAATAATTGAAATACGAAATTGAATAAATTGCGTACCAAGAGCCCACCAGTCCACTGCACTAGTATGACCTGCTCCAGTTATGATTTCCTGCAAAAGTAGTTGGAACACAAAGCAGTAAATATGAAGAGTCCTGAAGTTTGACATATCTTGGAAGACAAGAATAAAAAAGAGCGTGCTCTAAGTGTCACACCGGAGCTATGTACTCTTCAGTTCCAACGAAGGAATTTGATGCTCTCATTGGTTCAGCCATGAAGATCATATTCTGCTGAGGTTTGCGTTGTTTTTTCTTTTCGTTGATGCTTGGAAGTAGAAGCTGAAAGGAAGCATAATTATTACTTGAGAACGAAAGGGACTTTTTCTTTTAGTTCCAAAGTAAGATATGGTTTGTAAGATGTGGTTGGATACCTG